TTGCTGTCTAGGGGACTTTGTAAGTGGTGATTACTGGGCAAGAAATATCAGAAACCCAGTTGCTTTTGAACAAGCATTGAAAGCTCTGGCCAGCAATAAGAAGAATGTGGTCTTTGTTGAGATTGGCCCAAGAAGGGCTCTTCAGAGGAACATTGTGGAGACTCTAGGAAATGACACAGTGGTGCTTTCCTCAGTACAGCCAGACAAAGATCATGAGACAATGCTTACTGCTGTGTCAAAACTCTTTGAGCTGGGAGTCAATGTAAAGTGGGATCAGTTCTACAATGGGTTTGAATCACCTCCAGCTTCTTACCCAAGGTATCAGTTTGACTGCCTTAAGAAAGAGGTACATTTTGAGGAAGTAAGACAAGGTAATGAGGTGGTGGCTTACTGCTCTCATCCACTAATAATTCCCCATAAATATGACAACAGACTGATGAAATGTAATCTATCAGCAGAAGCCACTCCATTCATTTGGGAGCACAAGAGCAACGGCATAGTGATTGCTCCAGGTGCCTTGTACGTTGAACTGGCTTTTGCCTCTGTCATGGAAACTGTTGTCCCAAAGATGCCGCTCTCCTCTCTTCAGCTCACTATCGACTTTCAGACCTTACTTATTCTTAGTAAGAGCTTCCATTTTTTGAAAGTGCAGCTTGAGCCATCTGAGGATAAGGCTCTGTTTCAGATACAGTCCTCTGCTGCTGTGCATGCATCAGGCAGCATTACTTATACAAGAGGACCAGCTGTGACTGAGCACCAAGAAATTGACTTGGACATCATTTTGAAGAGATGTTCATTAGTCATAACAAGAGAACAGGTCTATACCACTCTTACCCAGGCAGGATTTGAGTATGGGCCCACCTTTCGACAGCTTGGTAACATCCACTATGGAGAGGAATTCAAGGAAGCAGTGACCACTGTTAAGATCCCAGATGAATTGCTTAGACAGCTATATGAGTACTACTTGCATCCAGCTGTATTAGATTATTTTCTACAGATGACCTCTATTTTAGGCTTGAAAAACAGCACTACAAGACGTGGTTTTCCCTCTGCAATTGGCAGCACAGTTATATCTGCACCTCTGTGTAAGGATATGGTCATATATATGAGGGTTTCTCAGGAGATGTCGGAATACTTTGAGGTGTGTGGTTGTTTCACGGACAAAAAAGGACACATTTTGATTGAACTGAAGAATGTCAGAATCACATTTCTTGGAGAAAGTATGAAAACAACTGATTCATACTTCTTTCACAATGAAATACTCACGGCCCATGCAAGTACCAACATTCACAGCAAACCGAGAGCTGTTGTCTTTGAGGATACTTTAGGCATAGCTAATGCTTTGAAGCCATACCTGCATCCATCTTCAGTATTTGTCTCTCCTACTGATGTAAATTGTTGTAGTTTACCAGGAGAAGTTCCTGATTTGCTATTGCAGTCTGATCAGAATGCAGCTGAGAAAATTCTGTTTATCTGGAGCTTTCTGAATCTGAGTCACCTTAAAACCCAGGCAGTTCTAGAACACTTGGTTCACACCTGTGAGCTTGTCCGTCAAATCGTTTTGACTTTGAGGAAATGCAAGCATTTGCGCACTGTTCATATTATAACGTACAGATCATCTGAGAGCACTGCTGATCACATCAGTCCTGGATTTGTGCTGTCTGGCTTGACAAGGGCCTGTGCTGCTGAGTTGTCGGAAATCTCTTTTCAACTAATAGATCTTGCCGCAGTATCAAGGGAGGACATCGAAGCATTAGCTTATGTGATTAGCTCCTATAAAAGCCATGATTACCCAGAGGTTATGATAAGCAAAGGCCAGGTTAACTCAACAGTGATAACACGTACACCCATCAACATGACAGCAGAAGGCAAGAGCTCTTTACTTTCTGACTGCTTCACCCTACAGACAGCTAACCCCTATGAGATGGTACATTTGTCAGCCATACCCATTAATAGTGTAGATCATCTTTCTGAAGGACAAAATGTGGAGGTACAGCTCTATAAAATATGTGTGCACTCCTCAGACTACTTTCCAGTTACCATATCTGACCTTAAATTTGGTCAGACAATATACTGGCACAAGCACGCTTCTCAAAACCACAAACTTTTAGCTCTTGATTTCAGTGGCATTGTCACTGCTGTGGGGAAGGATGTCAGAAAACTGAAAGTAGGAGACCATATTGTGTCTTGTTACCCCACTGCAGCAACCACCAAAGTTGTCCTTCCTGAGAGTGCTTGCTACAAAGCAAAGAAACTTCAGTTTTTGAAGGACATTCCTTGTGTCTCCTACTTTATTCTTGCTTGGGAGATCTTAAACAGTGCTTTACCAAAGGCCAAGCCAAAGAAGACATTGGGCATTTTCTCGACTGTTCCAGATTCAGCTCTGATGAAGGTGTTATCCTTCACGGCAAACAAGTCAGGATGGAATATTGTCATACAGAGGGAGCTCACTGGACTTCAAAATGTAGACCAGTGTCCTGTTTTTGTCCTCATACCTCCTTATGATCAGTCATGGATGGCACAGTTAGGCAGTGTTGCAAGTGCGAGCCATATTTTTCTGGTCTGTGACAACAAAGACTTATCAATTGTTCTTCAGAGTGACAGTGAGAGCACATGCTTCCACTTTCTTAAGTTGCGTAACATTATCCAGAAGTCTCACCTCAAGATGTGGAAAGCACACATATACAGATGGCTAAAAATGATGAACTTGGACAGGACATGGTTATCCTTACACAGCAAGACTTTCCAGGCCACAGAGGCTGAAACCACAAGTCACCAGAATACAGATGTTGGGTCTTATTTTAGCACCAAAACTGTCTCTTTGATTGTTCTGGGTAACAGTGGGTCAATAACTGGCGTTTCTCATGTCAACGTTCAACCCAAACCGAAGCAGCTCTTCACAAGTAATGGTGTGTACATAATTTCAGGTGGTCTGTCTGGTTTGGGACTTGAAACAGTCAAGTTCATTTCAGATCAGGGTGGGAGGTGCATTGCTACACTCTCAAGGAATGCCCCATCTGAAGAAACACAGCTGCAGATCAGCAGCCTCAAGAGACGATATGGAGTACGAATTATCACTCTCCAATGTGATGTGTCTGTATCAGACCAGGTATTGGAAGCAATTACTGTTATTGGAGAAAAGTTCCCTTCTCGTCCGATAAAAGGTGTGTTCCACAGTGCTGCCGTGCTGCACGATGGGCTGCTTGAAACACTGGATAAGTCTCTCTTTGAAAAAGTCTTGCGACCCAAAGTCAGTGGTGCACTGAACCTTCACTATGCTACTCTCAACAGCAAAGTTGATTACTTTGTATGCTACTCATCCATCTCCTCTTTCATTGGCAATGCTTCTCAGGCTAATTATGCAGCAGCCAACTCATTTCTAGACTCTTTGTGTCACTACCGGCGTAATGTCGGACTTGCAGGACAGTCCATCAACTGGGGGCCTCTGAAACTGGGCCTTCTGCTAAACAAAGAGGATATTCAGAAATTTCTAGAGGCCAAAGGGCTGATGATCATGGAAGTGCGTGAAATACATGAAGCTCTAAAACACTGCTTAATGGAAAACAAGCCTCAGCAAGTTGTGTGCAAATTCAACTTCAGAAATTTGAGGAACAACGTTCTCTCTCAAAACGCCTCTCTCAAAGTTCGACTGACAGCTTTAGTTGAAAAAGAGCTTGAAAGCAAAATGGAGAATGAGCCCAGGAAAGATGTGCAGTCTTCATTTGATACCTATGTAAGATGCATGTTAGGTGACATTTGCAGTGTTGATGCAGATGAGCTTGAAGATGAAACTGTTCTTGCTACAGTGGGCATTGATTCAATGATGGCAATGACAATGCAAAATCGAATTTTTCAGGAAATTGGAGTGAACATTCCACTTGTTACTTTACTTGACCCTAACAACACTGTGTCCTCACTGACTGCACTTCTCGAGGAAAGTGCCGAATGTAAAAATGATGCATATCTCTAAATGTTTATTTATTACGTTTTTGCTAAGGCTTCCCCTTAAATGCTTCTTGTTGTTTTTATAACAACTTGTATATGGTTGATTATATTGATGAGATCATGAAGTGTGATGTATAATGAGAAGTATTTGTAGTCGAGGGCTGTGCTAAATATTTTATTTAGTGAAAATGCTTTGTTGTTTGATTGTTGTTAAGAATTTTGCATAATGAAATCTAAAGCTGCATTTGTGTCAGCTGTGTGGCATGTAATAAAATTCCACCAGTCATTCTGGTATGTGGTAAGTTTCTCTGAATAAAGAGGGCTCAAAGTACAGTATCCTGTTATACATATCGTGAATTGCTCTGCCAAACTCACAAATTCTTCTGAAGTACTTATGCAAATATGAGGCATGTGCACAAGTCTTGCCTGATCCAGGAATGTTCCAGGAATGTGATTTGCTAGAAAGAGAGTGGCAACAACACAAAGGTTTGGTTTGGAAAGTGCTGGTATATGAAAACATGCTCTCCAATGGTGTCGAAGTAACTTACTGAACACATCTGATGTGATTAATATGCATATTCATAAAACAGAATTAAACTTGTCAGTCATTTTCCTATACAGAATACTGTGTGGTTATACATTTGCATTTATTTGCTGATTATTCTTCATCAATTAAGAAAAGAACACAGCAAACAGTACAAACTCAATTTAAACAGTAAAGATTTCAGGAAAAAGTATGATTTCTTTTAGAAAATATGTACTTAGCAGTACTACTGTGTGGCTGTCAACACCTAAAATGATGGCTACATGACAGCTATGCATTAAAATAACCATTTACATTTATGTGAATCTGTCCAAATGCATTTTGTAGTTATCAGTTATTGTAGTTTACAGCAAAATGTTAATGTTGATAATGTTAATGTTTAAAGTTCAGTACAAATAAACAAAACATAGCAAACAAAGACACAAAAACATCTTTAAGGTAACTGAATATATTACAATCCAACAACATCAGAATAAGTAGAAAAGAGAGAAGGAATATTGTTAGCAGGAAAGTGACTGAGATTTCCAACACAAATCTGATCATCAGATCTGTTTTGGTGGAGAGTTGATAGTAAACATTGCATTGTCATAGGCTGCGTACATGTGAACGGCATAGGTTTGACTGTCTACCATGAACATTGGAATGGTGCTTATCATGCACATCTGGCTATTTCTGGAGATGCTCATTATTTCCAGCCACGCTCCAGATGGCCAGGCAGGGTTTTGAGTGACAAGGTTTATTATTGTCGGACAAAAAAGTGTGATTGTAGTAAATTTGCTTCTCTTTCAAATCAGTCTGTTTGGTCTTAGACTGAATGTTATTGCCGTGGCTGTTTCCTGTGTCCTGGTCTTCCAGACCTTGCCTTTCCTTGTTGATTGACGTTCCACTGCAAATGTCAAAGAACGTTAAAAATACTGGGATGAAAGTGATGCCATGAAAGAGTCCAAAGAAGATCACCAGAAACATGATCTTAAAGAAAGTTCTGAAAATATAGTTCTTTGAAGCAGAAAGAACTACCACTCCAAGGATAGTGGACACAGCTCCTTGTAAAATGGGGTATCCTAAACTGAATAGTGCTTCTACGGCCTTCTCATTGGCAGTGGGTTTTTTGCTGGATACAAATGCGTATGAAATATGAGCAGAAAAGTCAACTGAAAAGCCAATACAGACGACAAGGATGATCATAGAAATGGTGTCTAAATTAACATCCCACAGTGCCATGAATCCGGTGACGCCCACAATGACAGAGGCAATGGAGAATGTTACCCAGAGGGAACACAGGGGGTTTGGGATTAACATAAGGGAGATTAACAACATGACAGCAGTAGTAACTGCAATATTCTGAACTGTATTACTGACAATCACTGCGTACTGGTCATGGTATATAAATGCAGGATGGTACACAAGCAAAGGCACTGGACATCTCTGTGCTGTATCTCGCAATTTATTTAACATATTCATTTCATCAATGGCTGTGGATATATTCACAGTCTGTATGAAAAAGCGCGAGGCATGGATAGAGTTATTGATAAAATTAACATCCTGCCTGAAGTCTGAGTAGAATCTCAGAAACTTTCTTAAGTTGTCTTTAAAAACGTGTTCAGCGCTGAGATTCAGATTTGTATGATGTCCATAATATTTATACGATTTGATCCATGAAGTAAATATGTCTTTTTCAATGAAAGACAGATTTTTGAAATTTTCAACACAAGTTTCCAGATCTGACATATTTTTTTCATCCCAGTATGAAAATTCACCTTTTACGATAACCATTATATTTGGTCCATATTCAGAAAAGTACGCTTTTTCATCATCATAGTACTTCACTACATATGAATCATCTGCTGCCAAGTTACGGAGATCAATTCCTTCTTTTATCTGGAAGCATCCATAAATACTGACTGCCAAATATGTCATGTAGAGCAAAATCACACAACGCTTCGTCCATGGCTTTGTCAAGAAAGGACCATAGTATCTCTTGAAGAAGTGATTCATAGGCTGGACCTCCTCTGAATCAGTGTGGGGGTCATAAGCCCCTCCCACGCAGCAAAACTCGTACCATTTCGACTGACCTATGGGGCACTCCTCAGGCACCTCCTTGCAGGTCAGCCAGTGCTGGTTTCTGTTCTCTCGCCTCCCGTTTAGCACAAGAAATGCTCCAAAGAATGTGACACTGTAGATGTAGCAGAACAAGATGGAGGTGCTGGTGTATAAGCAGAACGACCGGACTGAACGAAAGGGGGTCATGAGTCCAATGTAGAAGGCTAAGACATCTGTGAGAGTGGTGATAGTGATAGATATTGCTGCTTCTTTGTAGGTATCAGCCAGACGGTTTTCAACACGATCATGAACATTGGTCTGCTGCCAGCAGGAGATCAGAATGAACATATCATCAACTCCAATTCCTGAAACAAAGCACAATAAAGAATTCAAATGTTATACCTTTAACAACAACTTATTAAATATTACCACAGTTTAGTATTTAGAGACCATTACCTAATATCAAGAAAGGAGAATTAGCCACCGTCATGACAAATGGGACTCCAGTATGAAGCATCATTCCAAAAGAAGAAAGCACAGCAAGCCCAGCAGATAGCACACCAAAGGTAGCAACCCACACCTTGTTTCTCACACAGTCAAACCTATTGAATTATATGTTGTAATAAATATGCAAACAGGCTTATGATTAGCAGTTTTGTAGGAATGCAAGTGACATATCTCCTAGCTGAAAGCACAAGATGTCTGTCAGCCTCTGTAGCAGTGCAACAATCAAGACCAAGGATTCACATGCAGCTACCAGCAGCAGAAAACAGCAGACTATTCAAAAAAAGCACAGCACTGGACTTTTCACTTTTTTCTACTAAAAGTAGAGTTGTACATACCTTAAACAAGAAAGGATAGAAAATGCAATGGCAATGACATATGTAATAGAGAACAAAGGGATGACATCTTTTGTATTTGCCTCAAATTCCACCTGCCTTGACAGAGATGTAGAGTAGGTGACCTGTGAGTACAGAATGAGATTTTATCATGTTAAAAGGTCTACTAATCATCAGTAAGAAAAACATTTTTTGTTTTAAATTGGCAGACAGTCTGCCAAAAAGTACGACTGCCTACTCACTAAAAATAACTGGTGTGTTATATTCTGTTAACTTATCTATTTGTTAATAAAGAAATAAAATGAAGTATTAGTGTTTTTCAGTAAAATCAGCGTATTTATTAGATACCATGTATGTGTAGAGTATTTGTGCTTAGCACTGCTTTTTAAATAATGTTGCCACATGAAATTTCATTGTACATGCTACAGTACCAAAATATTTTACATCTTACTTGTCTAAATGTAAAGATAGCCAGGTTTAGTTATTGCTTTAGGTTAACACAACAAATCTTCTTTTTCTTTCTTTTTTTTTTTTAAATCCATCGTACACTCCCAGGAGAAGGTACAAAATTGTCACTGGAGTAGTACCCCTCTTGTCACTGGGGTGGTACCCTCAAGGGTACATCTCAGTACCTTTTGGCAGGGAACATAATTGTACCATAATCCAATTATATTTTCTAAATTGTATTGACTCTACACGCCCCGTCTCCTCTCCAGGCTTTTTGTTTATTATGGTTCTGTTTTAAAACATTACATTATGAAAGGTAAAAATATGTACTTTTCCACTAGAAAAAAAACTTTCCTTACAAAAAAGTCCCACAGGATTCCTGCTGAAAATCTGAAGGTAATACCTGCAGGAAAAGTGTGAAGGATATTTCTGCAGGAATATAATCCTACAGGATTTTCAGTGATCATTCTCCTGTGGAATTACTGAAGGATTCCTGCTGGACAACTGTTATGGAAATTCTTGGATCTCCCTTCACAATTTCCTGCAGGTCACTTTGAAAAAAAACCCAGGAAAATGACTGCTGAGGATTCATGCATAATTCTACTGGATTTCAAATGTCTGAAGGAGTAGTTGGAAGGAAACTATTTAATGTACACAATTGGACCATAAACCGCTGTTGTGACATTGAGGGTACATTTACAGTGTTTGTACCTTGATGAACAAAAATGTACCTGCACAGCACCTTTATTTCTAACAGGGTTTGGGAAAACATCAAGAATGTGAGGATTAATCAGTTCAAATGAGTCCAAGAAAGGCTATCCTCACTTTTCACTGAAGTGCTTAAACTTAGTTTAGGGTAGTAAAATAAGTGAAAGTTCATGGATAAGGGATTGTAAATGAGCGCTCTGCCAGATAAGGTCTCAGAGATAAGCCTGATAATCACGTATGTGTTTAATCACGTTGATGTCTTAGGCTGGAAATTATATACACACGTACTAAATATTTAAAGGAGGAAACTCTTGGCATAGAGACTGATAAGGCTAGATAAGTTTAGTGGGTCAAAAACAAACAAACAAACATTTTTCAGAGGTGAACCTACCTTAATAAACTTAGGTGATAGGTTGGAGGGAAAGACCCTGAGGAATTCATTTAGCCACAAATCTGTTCTGGAGCGATTATCCTCTTTCAGAAAGTAAAATAAGCGAATTGCCCTGGCACTCTTTAAAACGGTTGAATTAACACGAACCCCACCGACGGAGTATCCGAGGAAAAGGTGAGTAAATCCGAATCGAAAGAACGGGAAAGTGAGCTCTGTCTGCTCGAAAAGGTCCCCGTAGTAATTATACACATCCAGGATTTTGTTGGGGATGCACTTCTTGTATCTCCTCGCGCACAGGCCGTCGAATGTGAGCACTTCGCTCCCCGCAGACACGTTCAGCGCTCTGACTTTACTGTCCAAACTCAGTATCTCCTTGAACGCCGCATCGGTCAGAATGCTGGTCGATCTGGTGACTGCGATGAAAGTCGCGTACACGCCGTCAGTGTAGAGTCTCTGATTAGAAAAGACGGAGTCGTTCCGGGGGAAGCTCTGCTGGACAAACTGCCTCTCCAGTTTCGCCGGACCGTTCACAGGTGTGAACTGCTCCTCTATGTCATTGGCCTCGCGGTCTTCTAGGAAATAAAACCCACTCCCCAGCACGGCTGAGATCAGCAGAGGAGAGATGAAAAACCACCAGGGGTTTGATCCAACAAAGCGGCCGAACTTCTGGAAACCGATGGAAATGGGCTTCTCCACGCAGTCTGTGTTGCACCCGGCCATGATCACCGGCGTTAGGAAATATTACAGAGCATTAAAATCATCAACAGTTTCTGAAGGTCGCACTAATAAACATGTGTTATACATATCTTGTCTTCACCTAACTAACTGTCCGGTGTTTTTCTCAACTCAGAGATGTTCATTTTGCAGGCAGGCTACTCCAAATGCATGATGCACGTGGGGTATTAACACATTCTGACGCACTTGCGTGCAAACCTGCAGAAGCCTGCAGAGAGCGACCACTCATCATAACAGCAGAAAGTTTTCAATATTCATATTAGGCCTCATGCATCCAGATAAACAAATGTAGGCTGCATGCATGTAAAATGGATCTAAGTATTAACACCTTTTAGTTACACTGAAATAAATGGTGATTAAATGTGTCATGTGGTCATGTGTTACATCAGCACAATAATTGCCAAAACAAGTAAATAAAAAAAAGCAATAGTGTTGATGTTTTCGTTCTGTGCACCTATTGATTGATAATAAAATCATGAACAATTTTTCCAATTATGCCCAGATTTGAGATTTATGGAGCAGCAGTGGATGCTTTTGTCCTACTACATCCATTCAAGTAGACATGCTGCTGGCAAACATATACACCCATCGCATGTTTTACATCATTATTACCTCTTTAATGTTCAGGGATAACGCCTAGTGAACATTTTCAACTGAATAATAAACATAATGCCGAAAAAGGTGCAGACTTACGGCGCATATTGAGGCTTTTTATGGTGCAGAATCCAGAGTGATGTGATGAAAGAGAGTGATCAGTGAGTTTATTAATGAGGGAAAAGCCCTATTCATGACAACAGAGTATGTGATTCAATTACTGGCCCAAAATGGTTTAAAAGGGACAAACAATTGGCACGAAAATCATTGGCCCTTCTGTGTGCTCACAGGACTGAAGGGAAAATAGGACAGGAGAAATGTAAAAATGTGATCAGACACTGTGTGAATTTCTTAAGTTGATTGGAAGCTTTTCTTTTAGGAAAAATGTAGTTTATTATTCTTAAACCTAAACAGACTTTAAATAACATAACTACATTTAAACAATGTCATTTAGTATCCAGTGTCACTGCTGTGATACTGTCACAGATACTTTTTCATGCCTAATCTTTGCACACTGTAGCTAAAACATATATTTGAAGTATATGAGAAAATATAAGGCTAAAACTGTATAACACACACACACACACACACACACACACACACACAAAGTCTTATAAAATAATCTTAAGTTCATATTCCATGTAGTATCTTTTTTATTTTAATCAAACCAGTGCAATCACAATATCAATTACAATAAATAATAAAAAAGAGTGGCTTTCATGACATGTAACATGTTGTAGTCTATTGATCTTTATTCTAAATTAACATAACTACATATAAAACAATATCATTTGGTGTGCTGTGTTATCAGTGTGATACTGCTAAAATACATTTAGTTCATATAAACTTAGCACACTGTGGCTTATACACAGAAAAGTATTTGGGAAGGTATATGGCTAAACTGGTAAAACAGCATATCATAGAGAAAAATAACTTCAGGAAAAATATCAAAATAGAACTAACAAGCAATAAAAACTGCTACAAAAATGATATAACAATGAAAATGTGATAGTAAGATGATCACAAAGTGATGCTTGAAACAATCATATTTCTTATAGTCTCTTTATGATTTAAATCAAGCCAGTGCACGTAAAATATCAGCAATGTTATATAATAGAACAACTGGGAAATGTGCAGTTAGCATTATGTACACAATATATTTGTTTTACAAAATCTCAGCAGCTATAATTCTAGGATAACATACAAATGGCAGTGATGACATAAACACATACTGTCATGTAAAGAAAAGGAAACAGTTTTGTCATCGACTGCTTATATAGATAGCAATAAATGGACATATCTAGAATCGTGTAATCTCTGCTGTGGTTTGTGGCAGTAATTTTTTCTCAACTTGGTCATTTCCCTCATTCTCATTCCCTCCTAACATTTTCACTATGTCTGACAAAGTGCTGTCTGCATTAAGGAGTGTTACCAGAGGTATATTCACTCCTTTTTCCTGGAAGATGAGATTCTGCAGAGTCATGGCCAACATAGAATCAAGCCCCAGTGCTGACAGAACAGTATCATCAGTCAGCTCATCTTGTTCAACACCAATAGTTTCACTAATCACTGACTTGATATAGTCTTTGGGTGAAGAGACTGTGCTGGCCTGCTCAAGTCTGGAGTCAATCATATTGGCCTTTTTGAGACCCTCTTCTACCAGTGCTGACAACCGCATGGTGAGGGATTTGTTTTGAGAGAGAACATTATACCTTATGTTCTTAAAATTGAATCTACACACAGCCTGTTGTGCCTTGTTGATTAACAGGCACTGCTCAAGACTTTCATGAATTTCTGTCACGTCCAGGACCATCATTCCTTTCGCCTCCAGAAATCTTTGGAAATGTTCTTTGTTCAATAGGAGACCCAAATTTAAAGCTCCCCAGTTAATTGACTGGCCAGGCAGACCAATGTTCCTGCGGTACTGACAGAAGGTATCCATGAACGTGTTGGCCGAAGCATAATTTGTCTGTGATGCGTTACCAAGGAAAGCTGAAATGGAGGAGTAGCAAACAAAGTAATCCAGATCACAGTGTTTAGTGGCATGGTGAAGATTGATCACACCGTTCACTTTTGGCCTCATAACTTTCTCATAGAGGGCTTTGTTCAAGCTTTCAATGAGCCCATCATGAAGGACAACTGCACTATGGAACACACCTTTGATTGGATTTGATGGGAGGAGTTTTTTGATCTGAGCAATTGCCTGGTAAACTTGTTCTGACACTGAAACATCACATTGTAAGCAAGTGATTGCTGACTGGCACTGATTTTTGATGTTATTTATTTCCTGTTCCATCAGGTGGCTTGGACTGCTTCTAGAGAGGATAATAATATTCCCTCCCCCTCTCTGAGCAATGAACTTCACTGTCTCAAATCCTAGCCCTGAGAGACCACCTGTCACTATGTAGACAGAATTGTTCTGAAACAACTTCTGAGGTTTTGGAATCAGTGGAATGTCGGACAGTTCACCCTTCGAGTCAAGTCTCAGGACCACCACAGGCATGATCTGACATCTGAAGTATGATTCTGATTCCTCTAAAGGAAAGCAATCAATCTTCTCATTAGATAACCTTTGAACAGTGGTCTTCTCAAAAAGCACAGACTTTCTGTCCAAATTCATGTTCTTCAGCCAGCGGGAAATGCAAGGCTTCCGTGCTGTTATTGACTGCTTCTGCATTACAATTGATGTGAAAAGTATTTTCACATGAACCCCATCATTTTGACCTCTAAAAGCAAGCTGACTGACAGAGGTTTTCATTTGGTTGTCAGAGACCAGAACAATGTATCGGACACCCACAACATTACTTGCCTCTGCAATGACAGATTCATCATAGGGAGGCAAAAGCACAATTCCCACCATTTCACTGAAATCATGAAGCAATCGATTAGCATTTGTACCCACAGTGACGCTCCAGCCTGATTTGACAGCTGCAAGATTTAAGACTTTCACCAGAACTGAGTCTGGAGTAGTGGAGAAAATGCCTAACTTCAGCTGTTGTTTGACCTTGGGTAATGCACAGTGCAAGATCTCCCAAGCAAGATTAAAGTAAGAGACACAAGGAGAATCTTTCAAAAATGGAACTCTCTTTGTTTTATAGCAAGCAGCTGCTGGAATTACAACTTTGCTGGAAGCTGCAACAGGATAGCAACAGACAACTTGATCTCCAATTTTTAGTTTGCTAACATCCTTCCCGGCAGCTGTCACAGTACCACTGAAGTCAAGGGCTAAACATTTGTGGTTCAGAGATGTTTGCTTGTTCCAGTATAATGTCTGACCAAAGTTAAGGTCAGAGAAAGTGACTGGAAAGTAGTCTGAGGAGTGCACACAAATTTTAGAGAGCTGGACCTCCACATTTTTGCTTTGAATGGATTCAACAGATTTATCAGAAGCCACTGCTGAAAGGCCTGTCAGCCTGTAGGGGTCAGAGGTTTGCAAGACAAAACTTTTGCACTGTGACGAGTGTATGCTTTGAAAAGCGCTGTCTTTAGCCATTATTGGTGTGTGGCTAATCTGTGGTTTAAGAATCTGTCCATCTTTTACAACTAGCTCTGGGTATTTGCTGCAAGGGTGTGATCCGAGGATCTGGGCCAAGGCTTTGATATCCTCAGGAGAGACTGAGCTTATGTCTATCAGCTGAAAGGAGAGATCTGGCAACTCAGCTGCACATGCTCTGGTCATTCCAGAGAGTACAAATCCAGGACTGATGTGGTTAACTGAATCTTCTGATGACCGATAAGTAACTATCCTGATGGAGTTTTGGAAACCTATTGTCTTGAGACCTGCAACAATTGTTCGTAAAATCTCGCAACAAGTTGCCATGCAGTCTAACACATTCTCAGCTTTGTGTGAGGTTACGTCTGCATCACCCCATATGAACAAAACTTCCTGAAAGTTTGTCTTGACATTTGGGATTTGCAGTTCAGAAAGGAAACCTTCAAATCCACGTTCCAGCAGCACTTTTGTATATGTGGAGGGAATGTATTTTGATGATGGATCTAGGTATTGTTGCAGGCCTCTAGAAATGCCTGCATTATCAGCAAAGACCAGTGATTTTGGTCTTGGTGAGAAGCTGGCATGCTCAAAGGCAATGCTGTAGCTGTTGTGGTAAAAATACTCCTCTACCACATGAGGGCCACTGCCTAGGTATGTGATAGTCACATGCTTCAATTCAACCAAAACCCGGCCTTCTTTGTCAGCAAAACAGCCACAAACATTAAGCTCCTCTGTCCCCAAACATGTTGCTCTCAAATACACAACCATCTCCTTCTGCAAAGGTTCGAACACAGTTAGGCTGCCTATTTGGGAAGGGAACCCAGGCCTTCCCAAGAAAAGATATGTCCCTGTTACAGGAAGAAGTTGCATGAGATAGTCTAAGATCACAGGATGAAGATAGTAGTCATGAAGCTGGGGCAATAACTCGTCAGGGACAGTGACATGTGAATATGTTTCCCTAAGCTCCTCTCCATAAAAAACATCCCCCTTGTTTTTGAAAACAGGACCATACTGAAATCCCCCCAAAGAAAGATACTTATAAAACTCCTCAGAATGTATAACTGACTGACATCTTTTATAGACAGAGTCCAGTGAAATGTATTGCTCCTCAGGCAGATTTCTTTGTGTTGATTCTACTTTGCCTGATGCATAGTTTGCTGACAAAGAATGCACTTTGAACTGAAAGCTCATTTCTCCTGCATTTTCAGTGGGATTCAACTGTACTTTCATATCTGGTGTATTATGTGACAAAACACATGGAGTATGGAACCTTACACTGAGCTGCAGAGAGCTGAGGGGCACTTTTGGTTTTACACTTGTCATGAAAGCTGCTAAGCCCAACTCAACATAAAAGGCCCCAGGGATAAGGGCAACACCCTGGTGTTTGTGGTCATGTAGGTAGGACAGTGACCCAGAGGAGAGGTCACAGCTGAAAACAGAGCCATCTTTACTCTTCTGTGTAATTACAGGATGGCCACTACTGGTATCAGAGAATGTTGCTTCAATTAGTACATCTCGCCTTACATTGTCAAACTGATACCGTGGAAAAGGAATTGGTTCCATCTCACAGCCTTTGTAGAACTGGTCCCAATCTACATTGACTCCCATTTCAAACAGTTTGGAAACAACAGTTAGCATTGTTTCAAGATCTTTATCTGGCTGAACTGAGGACAGCACCACTGTGTCATTTCCTAGAGTTTCCATGATGTTTCTCTGCAGAGCCCTTCTTGGACTAATCTCAACAAAGATTGCATTCTTTGTCTGTTTTGCTGATTTTATTGCTTGTTGAAATGCCACTGGCTCTCGGATATTTCTTGCCCAGTATTTCCCATTAACAAAATCTGTGGGGCATGCCTTTCCTCCTGACACTGTTGAGAACAATTCTGTTACCATGTTCTGTGCCTGTAACAAGCCAATACTTTTCTCCACATCTGCCACAATAGAATCCATCATATGGCTATGATAAGCAGCAGGAACATCCAGAACACGAAGGAACAAATTTTTACCATCACCTGAGTTGCTCAAGCTCTTGTGCAAACTATCAATGGCATCTGCATCTCCTGAAATGGTGCAAGACTGAGGGCTGTTTTGAGCTGCCAAGCAAAGTCTTCCAGAGTAAGAGGGGAGAATTTTCAACACGTCTGATACAGACATGTTACTCACAACTAGCATTTTCCCTCCAGTTACTTTGCTTTGCAAACTACTGCGGTAGTAGATCACCCTCACTGCATCCTCAAGTGACAACAGACCAGAGCAATGGGCTGCAGCAACCTCTCCAACAGAATGTCCAAGAACAGCATCTGGCCTAATTCCCCAGTGCATTAGCAGGTTAACAATGGCAACCTGAATTGCAAAGAGGAGAGGCTGTATAATCTCTGGTTCTGTGAAATCATAATCCTGTTCTGACTTGCTCTCTAACTTCTCTATGAGACTCATTTTTCTGTAGTCTTGGAAAAGATCCTCAATCTCTCTCACTTTCTCTCTGAAAACAGGTTCCTCTTTTAGAAGCTGTCTGCACATACCTCTGTAAGTAACACCATTTCCACAGAACACAAAAACTACTCTGGGATCTTGCTTCGATGTTACAGTTGTTTTGTTTAAAGCATGCATAAGCTTCTCTTTCAAATCAGTCAAAGATGATGCATGGAACACTTTCCTATATTTGTGTTTCAAGTGACTTCTCCTGCATGCGGAAGTATACACCAGGCTTTGTAGATCTGTTATATTCCCTGCCTTGATATTTTGCATTGTGTCTTCTATTGTCATTGTAAGTGATTTCTCTGTTGCTGTAGAAACTACAAAAAAATGGTGTAAGTTCTTGACAGACTCTTTTGGCTGTTTTGTCAGCATATGCTGTCTTACAACTGCATGAGCATTTGTCCCTCCAAATCCAAAGTTATTTATCCCAGCAACCCTTACTGAGCTCCCTCTGGTGACCCATTTCTCAGCTTTGGTGGGAATTTTTAGATTGAGAGCTGGAGCATCTATGCTAGAGCTTTTCTCTGTGTAGAACACTGAAGGAACAATGGTTTCATGCTTCATCATCAGGAGGACCTTAATGAGTCCTGCTACTCCTGCTGCAGATTCTGTGTGCCCAATGTTACTCTTAACAGAGCCAATACATAGCGGCCCTAACTCTGCAGGTCTTGCCTTGGCAATGACTTTGGAAATGCTACCTGCCTCTATTGGATCTCCCACTGGAGTCCCAGTCCCATGAGCTTCTACATACTGCACATCAGACAGGTAGGTGTCTGTGGAGTAGATTCTGTTGAGGAGCTCCTCTTGCTGGACCATTGACGGCTTTGTCATAGGAGTGACAGTGTGGCCATCTTGATTCACAGCAGTTTTGCAGATAATTCCCCAAATGTTATCATGGTCTTCTAAAGCCTGTAAGAACATGTACATAGATTTGTTATTCACAGTGTGACTTAAGGAATCTTTGGATGTGGATGAATGTGTACCACTGTGCTTTAACCCCTTAAAATCCCAGGCTTACTACAAACTAAGGCGTATTATTCAACAACTACAGGAACTTCAAAGCAAATTGGCTGAGCTATTTTTGGGTTATAGAAGTGAGTAATAAAACTTTGGTCATGCTGGTTGGCCCTGGCCATTTAAGGGGTTAAGGTGTTATGGTATCTGATTTATGTAGAGGTAAATACTTTTTTCAAAGGCTTTAGCAGAATGACTCCACATCCTTCTCCCCTTCCATAACCATCTGCTTTGTTGGAGAATGGTTTGCTGGTGCCTCCAGGTGAGATCATCTTTGCCTTGCTTAGAGCCACAAACACTCTTGGCTGAAAAATGCAGCTGACACCCCCACATATAGCCATTTCACAGTCTCCTGTTACATAAAGTACAGTCAAACTCACTTTAATAGAAAGGTCAGAAACATATTTCAAGATGACTAAATGGATTTCAAGAATTGCAGTTTCTAAACACTGCCTGTTTATGACTGCATATATTCATAATAATAATATCAAAAAGCTGATTTTGTGTGACTGACCATTGACTTTTGTGTGTGTAATCTTGGAACTATATATAGTACAAGCTAAAAAAACACCTTTGATATGGGATAACAGTGCTTTGTGGTTATCATACCTTCTCTCATGGCCTGACAGGCTAAATGAAGGGCGACAAGAGATGAGGAACAGGCACAGTCAATAGACAAAGAGGGCCCAGTAAAGTTGAAAGTGTAGGAAATTCTGTTGGCAGCGATGCTCATGGCTAGACCAGTACCAGTGCAGTGGTTAATAATGATTGGGTTCACATTTGCCATGGTGAGTTCATAGTCTCGATTCATCAAACCTGAAACAGTATGCATGTATATTTGTCTGAGGTTAGGATTAAGCCTTTTTTCCTCACCATTGGTGTTTTTGTTTTAGTAACATTTAAGATTTCTGTTTTCTCTGTTTTATTTATATTTGAAAATGCAACTAATAGCATATACTCTTAAAACAGATCTGTTAAGAACATTTTACTTTCACATCAGATATGTTAATAACAATTACTTAACTAGATATATCAATGTGTTCAATTAAGGATGTAGGGTCAGAATGTAAGTTCAGTAGTACCTAAAAAAACTCCTGTTCTACTCCCACTGGCCTTTTCCATGGGCATGCCAGCATCCTCTAGTGCCCTGTAGGTACACTGCAGAAGAATCTTGTGCTGAGGATCCATTTGCTCCACCTCAGCTTCAGTGATGCCAAAAAACTTGTGATCAAACTCATTGAATCTAAAAAAAGTCCAAAAAAGATTTTATATTGTACAGTAATACTTATTACGGCCTTTAAAATGAAATGAAGTGAAGATATACTGCAATGTTTTGTCAGTATGGAACTCATGGAACATGGAAATTTTAGTGGATCAAAACAAACATCACTACAGAATTAAAAGGAAGGATTATAAACAGCTAATTGAAAGGCAGGCTAATAGAGGGAGGCTTTGACATTTACCTTTCTGAGAAAGAAAAAATAGTAATAAACCATAATTAAAAAAAATAATAATAATGAAATCTACAGTCTACCATAGTCATTATGTACACACTTAAAAATGATGTTTCTTCAGTTCTTTAGTAAAGAAAGTGGTTCTATATAAAACCATGAACACTCAAAGAAAACTGCATAATTAAAGCGTTCTTCAGATTGATGGAGAATGTGCTGTAGATGGTTCTATATAAGAATCTTTTTGGAAATTGTTCTATATAGCACCAAAAAGGGCTTTTCTGTTATCACAACCTTCACATCGTAACAATAGCAGAATCCTTTTTGGTGGTATATAGAACCCTTTTCACAAAGGTTCTATATAGAACCATATACAACACATTCTCCATCAAAGAACCCTTTAATTATGCAAAGAACTCTTTAATCATACAAAGGGTTCTTTGAGTGTTCTTGGTTCTTTAAAGAACCATTTTCTTTAAAAAAAGAACCCTTGGAACCATCATTTTTAAGTGTGCAGATGTTTGTTTAGTAATCTATGGCATTTAGTAAACGTGAGGCCTTTTGGAAAGCCACATTAGAAACAATAATAAGCTGCAGTGACTTTGGCATCAGTTATTAATAACTCTTATAAAAAAGACTGTAACCAGTGTATTCTGTATTGTTCTGATTTTAACAATAGCAATTTCAAAATCAACGAAAAAGGGACTATAAGGCTCACCCATCAGCAAGTGCTGCGTTTTGTGTTCGTGACTTCCCTGGTTTACTGTCATCCTGGTCATACCACTCTGCACAGTCAAACCTCTCACCTGGTATCTCCACTGCACAGTTCTTTCCCTCAAGCAGGACCTTCCAGAAATTATCAAGGCCCTCACCTTAAATATGTGAGGACAATCAGTAGTGTACACTACTTATTATTGCTAACACATGAACATACACAAATAATGGATATAAAGAGTTTACATCTTACCTCCAGGGAAATTACACCCAATGCCAACAACAGCAATGTCTAGATCATCCTCCTTCATAGTGGAAGCAATCTGAAATCACTCATGGGAACTAAAATGATGGTAATACAAAGTTGGTAAGACAAATGTATTTTGCGAACAGTTGAACATCACTAATGTGAGTGCGTGGCTCAAGCATATGAAGAGGAATTAAAATGAAGCTGACTTATATAGACATGTGGTGTCATAAAGTATTGTGTCAGAGGGTCATCTCTATAAGCATGGCATTGGAAAGAATAAAGCTAATTATTGACTAAAACAAGGACGAGGAACAAAGATAATTTTCATAAGGCAATGTTTTTCTGGTTAATGTTTAGGCCAAAAATGCATGTGCAGGATAATCTCTACTGAAGAGAAAAAAACACTGTATAGTCCAAGGTCCAACATCTATGCAAATAGGGGTCTGTGCATGGAATTATGAATACAGAAAAAACTGATGGGTGATGGCATTTCCAGCCTGAAATGGTAAAAACAGTTAAAAGACTGTTAAAAGAGCACAGTTGTGTGAAAAGGTTTGAAGACTCCAGTCAAATTGCATGAGTTGTTGATTTTCTAAGTCAAGGTGTCCATTCTAATCTGCAAAGGGCCAGTGTGGCTACAGGTCTCATTCCAATCAAGCAGCAGCACACCTCAGTAGGTCTCCATCAAGAGCTGATCAGCTGAGCTCCTGCTTTGTTGGAATGAAAACTTGCAGCCACACTGAGCATTTGCTAATAAGACTGCACACCTTTGGTCTAAATGGAAAAACATTACAGGGAACGCACTTAAATATGGCCTGTTTCTGCTAATTTTAGTGCATAAATTCCATTCATTTGTCGAGTTCAACATAACAGAAAAAATAAAACTGTGAAATGAAATGTGCCAAAACCTCATTATTATTATTATTATTATTATTATTATTATTATTCAACCATTTAAATACAGCAAATAAACAGTAGTTGTGCATTAAAATGTGCAGAGTTGTGATCTCTGTAGAGGATGTGTAACTTATATTCACTTAGAAAATCAACAACCCATCTAGTGTAATCAGGAGTGCCCAAACTTCTGCTTACGACTATCTGTGGAGTATAAAGTATAAATGATAATGTAATTGAAATGTACAGATATAAGCAATGCATTAAGCGATTATAATGAACAGGTATAAGTGATGCTGTGGAGTGGGGGCCATGATGAAAATGATTGTCAGTAATCCAGCAAAGCCAAGCACTGATAGGCAAAGTGAGAAGCGATGACGCTGTGATAAGGGTTTGATTACATAAAGGTGTACGTAAAAATTTCCATGTGGCATTGGATTCTCAGATAAGCTAACAGTCAGATAAGACACATTAATACATAAACAATTACCTTCATATACATGAGCCTTGATTGTTAATGATTTCATCTTATATAATTTGTTCACTTATCCGACCTTTACCAATTGTTGCCCTGGAATTTTTTTTTTTTTTTGGATAATAGTGATCATCAATAGTGATGATGTTTATGTGTTTATGTTAAGTTTATATGTGTTTTAAATATAGGTGGGTTGTGGAGATAGCAGTACTTTTGGTTTTGAGAGGAATTACCATTGTTATTTTTTTTGTGATGAGAAGGTAAACTTTATGGCAGGACATCCCCCACACATGTGGCAGAAGGCCCTCTCTACAGTACTGCCCCAAAATGTTACATTTTCATCTAACACTAGTATTAAATTGCTAATTGCTTTGAATGTTTTAAAAGTTTTTATATCTATTGATGCCATACTGCTACTACTACTACTACTACTACTAATTATAATAATACTAATGACGATAATGACACCAATAAATTAAAATAGATAAAATCATTATGCAATTAATGTAATCACAATAACTATTTCATAATAAATTGTGTTACAGTTTTTTCAAGTGAAGTGTAATCATTAGGACAAATTGATAGAGGTTCATTTTTAGATATATAATATTTCTTGTGTTCTACTTTGATTAAGAACACTTTTTTTAAATTAAAGACTAGAAATGATTTGACCTAAATAATACCCTCTGGAAAACTTGCTATAAAAACGTAAAAACCTATGCTAGAAAAACAACAATGTGTGCTATTCCAGTGTATTTCCTCTAACTGTGTAGGTTTATACATCATCATGATCCTCCTGTACATGCTAAACTCATGCACAGATACAGTTTATTTTTACATTCATATATTGTTCTTAAAGCAGGTGTTTTCTGCATTTTTCCATACTGTACAAATGTTTTAGGCTATCTGAGAAAATGTGTAAAGCAGCTATTTATACCGGCTGTAAGGAGAGCCACCCATGTGGTCATGCCACTAGGCGGGGCACAAGAGCCTGAGTGTAGTGTCCAGAAAGGTTAAGCATAAAAATACATTCCCCTCGAGGTTTAACACTACTCAAACAGAAAATAGTAATCTGTATTGTGCTGAAATAGATCAGAGTGTGTACCCTGGGGTTAAACTGGACCAGAGCACACCACTTTAAGTCCTTCTCCTCTCATTCTGTCTATTTTCACCATCATGCAAGGGTGTATTGAATCCTTCCTGGTGCTTCATGATGCTTCAACTGTCTAAATAATTGTGTTCATTATGTCTCAGCATTTAAGAAGTCTAGATTACTTTCTCTTATTAATATTAGTCAGTCAGTTTGCATAGCCAGATACAACTGAGGTAGCTAAATCAAATATTTGTCTAGGCCTGTTCCCTGTAAATGAGATTTTACTAAATTGAACAGCCTGGAAACAATATCAGTCAATTAATCAATTAAAAACTGGTTAGTGATGTTAGTGATGTAATGTAGCGGCCCTGAGCACTAAAAGTTATCTAATTTTTTGGGGTAAACTGTATTGTCTCTAAAGATGTCTCTTAAAACATTAGACAACTGGGAACAGCTGCTCTAAACATAAAAAATAACTTTTACAATTTCAATGTGGACTCAAAAAAAAATCCATTTTATTTCCAAGTACAAACAGAATGTTAAGCGATTTGTGAATGATGTCTCATAACTGTAGTAAATTTGCACACATTTACAACAAGCACTTTCATCTACTTTGCTGTACATTAGCTATACTATTAGATTATACCCCCATATTAAACCCAACACAGGATCACTTACCTTCCATTTCACTGCCTTACATTAGTTAGGTTACTATAAGGCTGACAGCCTATATCTGCAGGTAAAGGCTAATTATCCAGAGTCCTACCTAGTTACAGCACTAGTGTCAGTGTCTAAGGTGAACAAAGAAAGTTGCTTTGTTCTTGTCTTTTGTTCAGTGTTGAAAGATGAGACCAAACTTTGTTTTCTTTGTTGACAACTACTACTTGCTAGGTTTTCCCACAATCTGGAGAAATAGTGGAGCAGACTAATACTGTGATTACATGTTTCTTTTGGAAAAAAAGTTGTTCCATGCTTTTTTGTGTTAAACAGTGATGGTATATGACTGACACTGACAACATCCCAGAAGGATTCTTTTTGAGTTTTTTTTTGTTTTTTTTTTGGTTAAGAAAAAGAAAAGGAAATCAAATTTACACAAATTTTCCATTCACTCTAGATGTAGTCGAGCAGCCAAGAGATGTTTGGTGTCCAAATTTTGCCTCTTTAGTTTAGTGCTGCAGCTAAGATAATAACATCAACAGTCATCCATGTGTTTTCTGTAAATAAATGAGCAAAACCTTTCTTAATCCACTCAAACCACATTCAGCTTTACATTAAACTCTTGTCACTGTAGTTTATTGCACAGTATGACTTACTGTGAATTATAAAAATAAGCAAAATTTCACTGTCTAACTACAGTGTAGTACACTCTGTAGTGTTAGAGATTGCAGATAAAGAGACAAATAAGCCTATCAAAGAGCTACAACAAAGCAACTTACATATCACACAAAAAAATATGGCCAACATTTGTGAGGTAAAACATAAGAAGAACAAAAGAATAATTAACTTACAAAAGCCTTGAGAAATAAAACCAGTGGAGGTTCAGAAGAACAGCTGTCTCTAAGTAGTATTTCTGTGAAGAACAGATAACTGGAATACTCGAGCACGAGTCTCTTAAGCAGGATGCAGAACAAGGTAAGAAACGTCATAATAAAACAACACTCTGTTTTATTGACCAGGGTATATTTTGGTTTTTCCATCTAAATTTACATGACCAAATCATAAGGCAAATTATTCAGTAACTGCATGAAATAAATGTATATTTTTATTTATTTATTTTATTTTTTGTAAAAGTTCCCGTCAAATTAACAGAAAATGTGTTTTATGATCGTACACATATTGCTATATGCTTACAATTTACTGCTGAAAGCCAAAAATCTTAGACGCTCTTTGTATTTTTTTTTTAAAAATATTTTTTACAGAGTATATCACTGAAGAGACACCATCTGTTTATAGTTTATAGCCCAGATTTGTGGAAAAATGGGTCAACTTTCAGTAGACAAAAAATTTGTGAGTTTAGCTTCTTTTATTATAAGGGTTTAAAAATACATTACCCGTCTATTTGACTGGAAAGAAGACAGTTACAGCTCTCATATGACACCCACTTTTTGATCGTAGCTTATGAAATATGAAAGTTATGAAGAATATGACAAAGGAGTTGAAGAGGTTAAACAGAAAAATAAATGTTTGTGACAGCTTGTATACACAAGCACTGCAAAGCCTCGAGAAGCACACAGTTCATGAGAACATTGATGAAGAGGTGCTAAAGGAGCAAAAGCACTAGTCTGCAGCCCATGAAGATGGCTTCCTATCCATAGCACAGGAAGTGTGAACTGTCCTTTTTACTACGGGGGATAAGTTGGGATACTCGGGCCAATGGTGCACACAACTGGTCAGTGTGGTCTGAAAATGGCCTTCAATTCTCTGACAAGAGAGATAGCAAATGAAATGCAGGTAGAATTAGCAAATCCCCCAGGAAAGCTGCATGCAGAGACTGGAAAAGAATTTGGAGAGGAGAACCACATTGGGCAGTGCTCAGGATGGGACACGCAAGGGGAGAGACATGCAACCTGAGGAAAAGAAAGATGGCAGTTAAGAAAGCAATTTGGTGAAAAGAGGAAAATAAGAGAACATGATTTTTTTTCTTGAGGCTCTAGTAGGCTGTCAAGTTTTATTTGGA